AGGAAAATTTAATAAGGAGCAATTAAAAAGGACTTCACTTTAAAAACCGGTTATTGGAACTTTTTTGCAAAATCTTTTAGTATATAAAATAAAAGTTAGTGTTAAAAAGTGATTACTAAACTTTTTTGCAAAATCTTTCAATAAGCAAAATTAAAGTTAAAAAAATATATTTAAAAACAGATTATCGAAATTCATTTGTAAAGTCTTTTGGTAGATAAAATTGAAGTTAAAAAATGTTTAAAAACCAAATCTATCTAAATTTTTTGGCAAAAATCTTCCGGTACATAAAATAAAAGTCAATGTTAAAATCTGACAACCGAAATTATTTTGCAAAGTCTTTTGATATTAAAATAAAAGTTAAATTGTGTTAACAAATTAACTACTACAACTCTTTTACAAAGTTTTCTGAAACACAAAGTAAAAATTAAAAAATATTTTAAAAAATAAAATGATAAATTAGTTAAAAGTATATTACAACAAAATTGATATTTTTTATAAAATATAAAAATATAAAAATAAAGATAAAAGGTAAGAGTTAAAATTTTCAATGATGAGATTTAATAAGATCTCGTGTGATTAATATATATATATATGAATAAAAGAAAAATATTGAAAATAAAATTATAAAACAGCTGAAAATTTTTTGACGAATGCAACAAATCGCAATGAAAACGGGAACAAAAGAAATTACAAAAACAAAAATTATCATTTATGGAGATTTAAAATCTTTAAAATAGAGAACGATACCATGTAAAATTTGTGAATATTTTTATAGACATTATTTCAAAAATAAATTGGATTATAAAATACCGTACTATATCCAACAAGCCTAAAAAACTAAAATTTATCTACGACAGTTTGAGAAATATGCTCTTAAACTATTCTCTAATCAACTATAAAGTCTTATTATGTCCTTAAACTAACTTTTTAAATCAAATAACTAAACTTAAAAGTAATTTGCAAATAGGTTTTTTTATTGTTAGAGCACTACTAGTACATTATTTTAAATTAAAAAGCTTAAAACCTAATTATCACAAATTAGAAATGATTTACATCAAGAAAGATTTATTTATGGGAGTTAATAGGTGGTTTGGTGATTTGGAGAAGCAACATAAGAATTATTATAGTGATAAGGAAATAACAGATCAGTTATGACATTAGACAACTCAGATTTATGACATCAGACAATTCAGATGGTAACTGCATACGAATATCGAATGCTGAGATGCGAGTTTGAATCTGCGATATCCTATTGATTGATATACTTCATATAGGACATTGTTAGGTTAGAAACCATTACCAAGGTTCAAATCTTGGTACTCACGACTTCGTGAGAGTTTCTAGAAGCGAAATATACACTTATAGTTTTCTTCATTGTTGTAGAGACACAAAACATAATTTGATTAAGTTGTTCTTGCTATTTGAATGGTACAATTATTCTCTCCAGTTTGTATTATACAACAAAATCATGCCAATCTCTCATTACCAAAATGTACTGCAATCACAGACCAAATACACAACTGGTCCAATCCAGATTGCACCTATAAATTTAGTCTTTGGCGTACTGAGATGGTAAGCTGAAACTCATCATTCTCTTCATGTCTTGTTTAGCAGAGAAGCAAGATTGCGAAGTTCCTCAATCGCGTGCATTGTTTCTGCGTCAAATCCTCCCGCAAACTGCATTCACAGACAAATAGAGAAAGATTACGTTTTACCACGTGTTCAATCATTAATGATAAGGACGGATCCAGAAATTTTATGCCGCGAAACACAATGTGGATTCGCTCGTAGTAGGACATACCTGATGGATTCTGAAAGCAAATCTAACTCCTTGGAGAACCATGTAATCCATTGCAGGATCTTTGTCAAATGCTGACTTTGTTTGAACTTCCATGGCTACCCTTTTCATATACTTTTTCGCCAATTTAACTGACCCGAGTTTTATCTATAAAAAAATGGAACAGTTGAGTCCAATGTTATGACAAAATATATAAAATGCTATAAAGAAGCAAAATATCAGATGGTGTACCTTGCCAATAATTCCATTATCAAGCATCCATTCTACAGGAATTTGAAACTCCTTGCAATTTCGCATTAGAGAATCCCTCGTGCGGAGAAGAGCATAAACCGTGCGTTCCATCCTACAGAGAAAACCACAAATAAGTCTTGCAACGTATAGAATCATCACAGAGCACTCTTGGAGATATTTGAGTAGCTTACTTTTCTGATAAAGCAACCATTTTCTTTAGAGCAATGTCACAAGGTAGCCGAGGATCGTCCTTGTAGGAGGAAACTTCACATTCCAATTTTTTCAAATCTTGGTATCCAAATGATGCTTCTCTTAATGTGTCAGCTTTACGAATTCTCCTTGTGTTTCGATATCTTCCTTTATCTGCATATCGAAGAATAGATATTATCATTTTTGATGTCAATCAGAACATCATCTGCTATTTTGTAAACAAACTTTGTCATAAAGAAAGCTAGAAGTTTGTAAGTTGAATACATAAGATGTAAAACTACTCACAGCAAGTAAATGCGATGAGCGGTTCTCAATTTCTCCAATCATGCTACTACGAACATCTGCAACATCAGGAGCATCAGCGAGTCCTCCGTTTGAAGAATCCTTTCTAGAATCTCTCTTCATGAGTGAATGGTACAATTCCACCACTTGTGGCGCTCTTTTCACCATCGCCGTGTTACTTTTTGATGCAAAACTCATTGGAGGTGGTGGAGGAGGCGGAGGTGGAGGAGGTTGAACTTGAACTTGAACTTGAGCTGGGTTTTCTTGTTTTGTTTTGCTAGAAATAGAACATGAAGAAGGTTTCGAAGGAGGATTGGGAATCCTCAGTGGCCTCTTCTCCATAACAGATTGCTGAACAAACAATGACGGCAATGGCACCGATTCCTTTTCGATTTCTTTTAAACATTCAAGGGAATCAAAACAATTAGATTGTCTTCTTTTATTCAATACAACAATATCTTCCTCCGAACTATTGGAACCACTAATCGAATGCCTTCTTCTATTGCTTCCCTCAGATATTGATTCAATCCAATTTTTCTCAAAGAGATTACTACTAGTACTACTTGTGGACTCAACTTGCGACGAATTATCACTACTAGTTATTGGCCACTTTTTCAGCTTCTTAACCAAATTGAAGCTATTTGCATTACCACATTGATCAGAAAACGAAATAATAGAATCTCCACTACTACTCACAACAGGTTGAGGACTAGATGGCTTATCAGAATCCAATGTTGAGCACGAATTCTTCAACTCGGTTCGTAAACACGAATTCACCCACCTCAAGTAGGCTAGCTCCTCCACTTCATTTAATCTGCTTGTTTGTAAACCTTCTACTTGTTTACTCAGGTCTTCGTTCGTGAGCTGGAGCAATGAGGCCTCGACTTTGAATTTGGCAACAATGTCACTCTGATCATATCATAAAAGGACAATATGAAAGGGGAAAAGGTGAATCAGCATTGACAAAACTGGGCTTAAGAAAAAGTGAATCAAATTTTAATTCTAAGAGAAAAACATGCAACCAAAACAAATCATCAATAAGAAAAAAGAAATTTGGAATCTGAAATGAAAAAAAAAAATCTTCATAGGCTTAGAAATGAATCTAGCTGCATTAATAATGAAGCACAGGTTAAAAACCAAAATTCACTAATAAACAATTATATAATAAGTACTTAAGTAAGTTGTTATTAAAACAGGCCCTATTCATATCTTCTACACTATTTCAATCAAGTTCGACCGTGACAAGCGGTATGGAAAGGCGTACCAATATTCACCGTTTTCATGAAAAAGAATAAATTGTGGTTAATTGACACCACGACGACCGCAATCAGTGTCGCAACACATGTACGACGAAATCGCGAAAGCTTTTACGTGAGGTTATTTAAAACCTTTTCAACCTAACATTGAATTGAGTGAATCAAATTGCAAAAACTACCTCTGAAGAGTTTGCAGAGCTAGACAACTCAGACTCCATAGAAGAAAGCCTGCAAGTGAGGTTCCTCTTCTGCATATGCAGCTCCTTATTCAACCTTCTCAACTCAACAACTTCAAGCTCAAGATTCTGCACCGAACTATCCTCATTTCCCCCTTTTTCTTTTCACAAAGATATATGTCTAACAAGTCAAATGAGCACTAGTTAAGGAAGCCATCAGAGAAGGCATAAAAACATCATCAAACAAAAATGATAAATCTCCACCAGGACACAAATAATGCCACAGTGGCTACAGAGGACTATATCCCTAAACACATATCTACAGGCAGGGGAGCAACATTGGGAGTAAGAGGCAAAGCCATTGGGTCAAGTGAGGGACACTATACAAAAGAAGAAATCATGCGGTGGTGGACACTCGTGAGTGGACTGTCTGACAGCAAAAGCTGTGTGTCGTGACGGAGTTAGATGGGCAAAGGGAGACCACATTGGTTGGTGTGGGAGGCATGATGTGGAGGGGTGGCAAGAGTTTTGGGTGCAACCATGAAGGAGTGGTGGCAATCTCTCCTCTGGTGTGCAACTAACAAACACCAAACTTTGTGGAAGCAAGCCTACACAATGTGAGTCCATGATAACTGATTACCTTGAAAAATTGCATTTCATTGTAGCAAGAGTTGTTAGACTGCAAAAAAATATATCCACTAAAACAGAATACAGGAGAGGAATCAAGAAGCAAATTACTCTAATGTTATATGATGGTACAAAAAGTGATGCTACAATGTAAGCAACCTTACAAATGAAAGAAAACACTTCATCAGTTTTGAAAAGATTTACCAGCTATCAAGTGAATATAGTAAACACATAAACTTAGGTATAATCCTAGCAATGACAACAATGAGGAAGAGGAATCAATATGCAAATTCCTCTTATGTTCTTTGATAGTACAAAAAGTGATGCCACAATGTAAGCAATCTTTCAAGTGAAAATTCCTGATCAAAATTGGAAAAAAAAATGTAACAGCTATCAAGTGAATATAATGAAGGCCTAAATTTAAGCTTGACCCTCATGTTTCCTTTTCATTTTCTTCTTAGACTGTTCCTCGGATCTATCTTCCACATCTTCATTCTTCCTCTTCTTCTTCCGTTGCTCCGTCTTTATCTCTTCAGCATGTAATTTGTTCTCACTCCCTGCTTCATGTCTCTTTTTGGACCTAATTTCTATATCATGTGGAACAACCAGCCCTCCATTTTCAACCTTCACATTGTTGCTCATCTTTTTCTCTATATCATTCTGTTGTTTTTGTTCCTCTGCATTCTCACCATCTAGATTCTTCTCCTCCTTCTTCTTCTTCTCCTTTTTTTGCTTCTTTCCCTCCTCTGTTCCTCCTTCACCACCCTTACTTAATTCAATTTCATTTTTCACCATAGCAGCTACTTCTCCATTGTTACTTATCTTTGTGTCTATCTCTTTTTGTTGTTCTCATCCCTTCGCACTCTCACGTTCTAAATTCTTGTCCTTCTTCTTCTTGTCCTTTTTCTGTTTCTTTCCGTCCTCCATTTCTTCATCGCCTTGACCTGATTCATTTTCATTTTGCCCCTTTTCGGTAGTTTTCCATCACCTTTCTTATTTCCAAATTCATTCTTCTTCTTTTTATCTTTCTTACTACGCTTCTCACTTCCATTTACAACAGAACCATTAATTTCTCGACCCAATTTAACATCATTCTCAATCAACTTTTCATCAACATTCTCACCACAAACCTTTTCCCTTATAATCCCGATTTCAGATTTCACATCAGCACTTGTAACAGAACTTACACCTACTCTCCCACTATCATCTGTCACGTGGCTTCGGCTTTTCTTCCTACGAGACTGCGAGGGTTTAAGCTCCCTATGAAGCTGGTTGAGCTCATTGAAAGCATCCGAAGCTCGATGGAGATAGGCATTGATAACTTGCGAAGCACCGTTGTCAGCAGAGACAAATTTTGAGAGAATTTTGGTAGCTTTGGAAAGTGATATCTCTTTAGATGATTCACATCGTCCAGAAAGAGTCTTCATCTTCTACTTCTTCTCTCACCTTCACATACATATGTAGCTAGACTAAATCAATAAACAGTTAAAAACTAAACTATTTTGTCAATCACTGCAAAAATCGGAAAGTATAGCTTTTTTCTGAAACGCGATACTCAGGTTTGTTACGGTTTAATGTAGCAGCTACCGCGGCCGCAAATCGATTAATCGCAGAAGTTAAAGGAATGGGGAAGGAAGATATGAAGAAGAAAAGGAATACCTAGAAGGATTTGTCACTGTTTCTGGAGGTGGAGTTGCTCTCTGCGCCGACCAAGTCCGCCGGCGTTTTCCGGTTTGTATGATTCTTTTATAGTGATTAAAAAGTGAATATTTTTATATAAAAAATGAAATTTGATAATTCTATAGAAACTAAAAACACATAAAACATAATATTGAAATTGCAAAGAGATCTTAATAATTTTCTTTTTAAATTGCTGATTTATAAATACAAGGATTATTTAATTATAAACCAACAATTTACATTTATTCGATTTACATATATTAGTTGTCCTACATTAGCCACTCTTTTGATTAACTCTATAATTTTATAGACTATTTATCTATTAAAAGAAAGGTTTAATTAACCTTTCTCCTAAAAGTTCAAAGTTAACTAAAATTAAAATTGTTATTGACTAATATTTTTACGTTTGATTTTTAAAAACTAAATGCGTAACTTTTAAGACAATATTTTTACATTTGATTTTTTAGACCACAAACTAAGATTTTTTTTTAAAGTATCCATGTATTTTAAACAAATTATTATATAAATGCACGATTCAAAAAAATTACGAAATCAACTATCACTCAGCAGGCAGTCGCTATACTGATTGGCGATATTGGTAAAAATTAAAAAATTGGTTTCAAGCAATTCACCAATCTAATTGACAAAATTGGTTGAAATCGGCAGCCCATATGGCGACATAGACATGTGTTTAGGACTTACTTTTAATTAATATTTTACCATATTTAATATCAATTTTTTTTAATATTTTTAATTTTGATTATTTTTTTAATTTTAATTAATGTTTTAATGTATTTAATATCAATAATTTTTTTATATTTTTAGTTATTATTTTGTTTTTAAACATAATTATTATTAATAAATTTAAAATAATTAGATTTAATGTTAAAATTAATTTTTTAATTAATAAACTTAAAATAATTAGGTTTAAATAAAAATAATCTCAAATTAATTTATTAAATTTAGGTTTATTAAAAATAAACTTAAATTGGTTTAATAAATTTAAGTTTAAATACAAAATAAAAATTGAGTGTTGATTTAATTTTAAGGTAGATAAATTGATTTAAATAATAACTTTTAAAACATAAAAATTGACTAACCATTGAAGTTTAAAGTGTATAAATTTTGTAAGGGTATTTTAGAACGCCGGAGACCAGAGACACATACATTTCACCTACTTTTTGATGAGTGTACTGTGACTCTCCAAGACGTATACATGTTGCTCGACCTACACATCGATGGTAAGACCGTCAATGACAAAGTTGGTGTCCCTGACCGACTTTGCGAAGATTTATTGGGCGTCCCTTTTTGTGTGGACGCACCTCAGGCGGAAAGCGAGGGCCGCCCGAGGGGTCAGGGAGTTAATTTAAAATACCTCAGAGAACAATACAACAGTATTGTCTTAACTGATGATAGCACCGAATATGACATAATTGTCAAAACACGGTGTTATATTATGATTTCGTTCAGTCACTTTTTATTTCCAGAGGGAACTGGAAATAGCGTCCATACTATGTATTTACCATTATTACAAAGTATTCACAAAGTGTGCGAATATAGTTGGGGATCAGCTGTCCTCGCCCATCTGTATAGCGCACTTTGCAAAACTTCCAAAAAAAATATTGTACTTTTTATGGTTGTGCTTATCTCCTACAAGTCTGGGGTTGGTCTAGGATGCCAACGCTTGCTCCAATAAACTGAAATTATTTTACATTCCTGTACGCCAACAAGTAAGTTTCTTTTCAAGATTATTTAACAACTACATTTTCTTTGTAGGTTAATAATTTGTGAGATGTGTTTTAGATGTTAACTTATATGTGTTTATTTTTTTTAGGTGGTCTGTTCCAGGGATGAATTATCAGAGATTTCCCAAGCACTCTATAATTCAATACCGCAACCTCATCGACCACCTTGGGCCAGATGATGTAAGTTATTTACCTTTAATTTTTATAATGTATATGCATAAACTTGTATATCTCTGTCTAACTTATTTGTCCACCTTTATTGTAGTTTGTCTGGATGCCGTACGAGGGTCTCGACCACCAGCCCGACCCCGATGATGCTGCTGTGTGGACATCAAGAACACCCATAATTAGGTTCACTACGGTGGAGATGCACTAAAGTGACCGGGTGAAGCTACAATTTGGGAAGCATCAGGATATTCCAGATGCTCCGGTAGAGTTGGGGCAGTGGCATCAAAAGCAGGCGGACTCATAGTGGAGTGTCAGTGATTGGAAGGACTTTGCGAAGGAGTTGTGTAAACACTGGAAGAGAAGAAGACATCACGTCTTAATCGACCGTATTGTGCACGGGGCTAGGCCAAGTCTTCAATATATGACTTGGTTTAGGTCTGTCACGACATCTCAGCCTTTCCTGTCCCATCCAACCTATTTGGTCGACCCAAGGGAATGCGCTTCTTCGTAAAACACACAACAACAGTCCAGTGTCCAAAATCAACCTTACGAAAACCCATACATGCCAACAAATACCTCCTATCAACAACAACATTCTTACATGCCACCCACCCAGTCCCAACCTCAACCACCATACCGTTATAGCCCTGATACGTCTTTTGAGCCTACCCCTTCCACCTATAGCCCAGACAACTCATTTGACCCTACCCCCTCCAACTATCCTTCAAACTACCCCTCCAACTATCCATTATTTGACTACCACACCCCACAACAACCAACACACCATTTACAACCCAATTTGATGTACGAATTCGGACAACCATACCGTCCATACTCCACCCAACCTCTTCGACAATCCTTCGAAAACATGAGCATTGGACTTGACTACGGCAGCGCTGTTGACAATGGACCTCCCGGCTATTGGGGTCAAATGCTGCAAAATCTATCTGATACGCCGGGGCCGTCCCAATAAAACCCTCCTCCACAACTCAACACACAACGACCAGACACACCACAGCAACCTCATCGTAGACCTCGTCGCAACGCGCATCCCCCGCAGTGTGGCACCAGTGGTCGCTTGGATAGAGCCGGCCATTCATTTTATTTTTGCTGTAATTTTATTTATTTTAAGTTTTATTGTAAATAAATATATTTTAATATTTTTGTACATGCCTATATTATTTTAAGTTTATTCAAATTTCAATTCTTTATGAAAAACAAACAACATAATTTACTGACAAATATTCATTAATAAGTAATTAAAATATTTATTAAAATATTATTAAATTTAATGATAAACTTAACGTTATTACTATTTAAATATGTATTTAAATATTTGCCTAATATAAATATTTAAATTTAATGAAAACTATATATTAAATATGTATTTAAATATTTGCATAATATAAATATAAATTAAAACATTAAAAAAAACTGAAAAAGAAATCCCAGACTACAACTAAGTCGCCATTTGCATTGGCGATTTTACTTTTCCTTCTTCACTATCGCCATTTTAATTGGCGAATGCTTACAAAGCTATAATTGTGAATGAACTAAGTCGCCGTGTGCATTGGCGACCGTTTGTTCAATGTTAGCTACTTACGTCAATTTTCTAAATCTTTTGTTTAATTGGTAAATAGTAAACAATACCTAGTTTATCTAAAAAAAATTCACAAACTAACATTAGTTTTAAAAGAACACAAAATTGTATCATAAGGAAAAATAGGAAAATACTTAAGGCACCCGATATATTATTACTATACCATCCTAAAAAAATTTAAAATATCTATAAAATTTAAAAATACATCTTTGAACGTAATTTAAATACACAAAATTAAAACATTTTTAAATCTATCATTTTGAAGAAAAAGAAAGTTCACAAATATATTTCTAAAATAAATTTGAAAGTATGATTCCTATAAATATACTGTTTAAGCAACTTAAAATCCATTAAAATAAAAAAGAGAAGTACATGAGATTGAGGACATGTAGCATAATCTAATAAAACAAAATATTAACGTAAATCAAAATTAGAAATAGACATTCATACATCATGTGTACAATCTAGTGAATCACTTAGGACATGAAACCAAATTGTAAAAAAAAAATGATGTATCAATTGACAATCACTAAACTCAGATTTTGAAAACAGCAAATGAACCTTGACCGCCAACACGATAACGACTTCATTAATCAAAAACTTACTCACAAATTATGGTAAGTAATTACAATCATTTCTAACCAAACGGTCTAAAATCAATCACAATCGACTGAAGCAGGTCTTAACCAAAAACTTACTCACAAATTATGGTAAGTAATCACAATCATTTCTAACCAAACGGTCTAAAATCAATCACAATTGACTGAAGCAGATTTTAAGACCGCAAAGTAGTAAACTCAAAGCAGAGTTAGAATTCATGAACCACCTCCAATCTGAACAACCCAAAATTCTTTGACGCAGGGAAGACAAATGAAATCTTGAAAACTGCAAATCTCAAAAGATCAGAACCAATCAAAGAATCAAGAATTAGAATTTCAACAAACTCGCATAAGAAAAGATGAGGCTTATAAGCAGCAAAAAAATGATGTTGAAAAAGGAGATGATATAATCGTAACTGAGTTACATCCAAAAACCTCATCAGCGAGCACTTCCTCCACCCACTAACCAAAATTTCGTGAAGACGCAAACGGAAAAAACAAATCAGCACAACTCCGGATCTGAAGAAATTTGTTGTTGTATGTTCGGAGCGAGTATTAACAAACCAACTGACGTCAACTTAGAAATCTCAACACAAAACCAATCAAACTCGCTAGTCAGAGTATTGAAACACGGT